GTTAAATAGGCTTTACATGGCGCTAATAAATGTAGCAAATAATGGAGGCGAGAATACGGTACGCACAGGGGCATTACAATTAACTATAATAAATTAAATAATGCTGGGCAGTCGATAACATTATTAATAACTCCAATGCAATAACTGCAATAAAACTAATAACTGCCACTACTTTTTGTTAATTACTCTCCAATTGTCCCTCAGCTTCTATACAAAAATGGACAATTTGGAAAGAGGAGATACGATTATTCGAACCTCGCAGCTCATTTTTATAGTTGTTGACAATCAGCGACTATAACAACAAGCCGCGAGACTCGAATAATCGTATCTCCCCTTATCAAATTGTCCATTTTTGTTTACAAGCTGAGCTTGGGACGATTGAGAGGAATTTACTGTACCACGTTTCCTTGTATTTGAGAAATCTGCAGATGCCGGAAACGCACAAAAATCCGACATCACCGGGAAAGTATGTGGACGGGACGTGAATAGCGCGCGCGCGCGTGCGAGCGAATCAGTGCGTCATTTGCAGAAGGTCCGAGCACGACAGATCGTTCTCCCGCGTCGATGAGCTTCGGAAACGATCGATCGACTTCTCCTGAATCATGCGGGTGTCCGGCACGAGTCACGCGGAATATTTCACCGTAGCTGTTCACCAGGACGAACGAAAGAGCGGCACTTAGGTGGGGGGTAATATACGTCGCCGAGGGCGGTAACTGTCCTCGTATATTATGTCGAGCGTGTCCACGGGGACATAGATTCCAGTCGGCTGTATCCACGGTAAACAATGTTCCGAGAGTCGTGCCTAAACGATTCCTCGTGTCTCTAGTTATTTTGGCAATTAATCGCCACCCCCGCCCGACCCGACCGAACCCCATGCCGGCTGAAATATCACGTTTCTTGTCCGCGGCCGAGTTTTTCGTTCACGTTGGCTCGCGCCGTTCGTTCGCCTTAACCGTTCGAGTCCCAAGCAGCGCGATCGAGCTGCTCAGATTTTGCGTCGAAAAGTCCCGGGATATTTCAACGCCGTATGAACAACTGACGGTGCACTCACGGACTATCGAAGTACAGTAAATTCTCGCTAATTGATGTTCGCTAATTGACGCTCGCAAAAATGGACAATTTGGGAAGAGGAGATACGATTATTCGAGCCTTGCGGCTCGTTTTACAGTTGTTGATAATTGGTAACAGTTAGTAGTGGTCATAGTTAGTAATAGTTATATAGTTATACAGTTATAGAGTTATAGAGTTATACAGTTATACAGTTGTACAGTTGTACAGTTGTACAGTTATAGAGTTATAGAGTTATAGAGTTATAGAGTTATAGAGTTATAATGTTATAGAGTTATAATGTTATAGAGTTATAATGTTATAGAGTTATAGAGTTATAGAGTTATAGAGTTATAGAGTTATACATTCGAAATACAATGTTCATGAAAATCTGCCGAAAATCTTACGTTGAATTTTGCTTCGGTTTTTTACTTAGTTAGCTAGCAGTTACTAGTTGGTTACTTAGTACGAGTCTCGGTTTTTGCAAGAAACTCACGGAGATATTGAAGCTTCCGGTACAGTGATTGACGGGTAAGATTCACCTGCCAATTAACCCGGGAAGGCTCGCGAGCAGGGAAATATTCGGATGTGAAATTTCGACTGGGAAAATAGAAGGACCAACGATATCCACGATTAATATTCCACGAAAATATTTCAGTGAAAATCTGAATTATAGAATCGTCGTATTTTCATTTGAAAACAGCCTCGATCGACAGCTAATTTATATTTTCACGTATTTATGCTGCGTTCGATTTCATCGTAACGTAATCCTTGTTTTCGTTTCCTGGACAAATATCGAGGAGAGAAGATTTCGGTTTCCGTTCGTTGACGTTCTTCCGTAAAAATGCCAGTCCGCGATCTAACGATAACTCTTGCTGCTTCCTAATCGTCGTGGTTCTGCTTCAGGTTACTGTTACGGAACAACAATCCCGTCCCGGCAACGTCGTCTTTGTCGTTACCGCGCTTCATTTCTCCCGTATTAAGGGAGAATTAAACAGAAGGCCGGCGAGGACAGAGACGCGGCGCATATGAAAAATCACCGTCTGACTTCTCGCAGGGGAAGGATATTACGATTGTTACGTTTTTCCTGCTGGAATCGTAAATCTTCCGTCTTGTCCCCGGCTTGCTTCTCGGGGGGGTTTACAAGTCCCGGCTTGCAGTCTCGTTTACGCGCCGAGTTTTCTCCGTCCGATAAGGGGACCGTCCTAGCATTATTTCGCGATCCTCCAGTTAGGCCGGGAAGCTCTCGCAAGACATATTACATTACAGCCTCGCCAATATTCGAAACGACGCTGCTTTACATTCGACGTCTGTCGACAGCCGGAAGACGAATGTCTTTTGGGAAATATGCTGACTTTCTTTCGGTTCTCATTTGCGACCCATTGATCCTTGCCAAGATTCGAGAGACGATTCTCCTCTGACACTTCGCGCCCCAACAAATTATTCTTTAACTTTCCGCGCTCTCTGGAAAGTACGACAAGTAAGCAACAACTTCGTTGCATTATTAACCCTTTCGCGCCGAGCGCCGCATATATGCGGCATCCACTCGACGACTTGTGGGTACGGGCGCCGCATACAGAGTGTCCCAAAAATGTCTCGCAATCCGGAAATGACGGGTTCCTCGGATCATTTGAAGCAGCAGTAATTCGAAGATTTGATGGCAGTCAAAGTATTTGAAGAATTCAAGTTAACTCTTTTATTATTTTCAGTTCATTAAAAGTTGTAACGAAAGAAACGAATGTCCACGAGGCTTACGTTTGGCAGTTTAGAAAAGCGTGCCTTTTGACGTATAAATTGCGCACGCTCGTGATCGGTTCTCAGTTTATATCGAACGAAAATGCTCACATTGGTGAGCAAGTAGCGAGCGATCTTTACGCGAAATAAATACAGATACGTTTCCTGTTGTGATCGTTTCAGTAAATTGACCGTGTGGCAACAATAATTTCAGGTACAGTAAATTCTCCCTAATTTTCTTTCCGCTTGTAAACCAAAATGGACAATTTGGGAAGAGGAGATACGATTATTCGAGCCTCGCACCTCTTTCTTATAATTGTTGACGATTCAGAACTATAAAAACGAGCCCCGAGACTCGAATAATCGTGTCTCCTGTTCCCAAATTTTTGTTTACCAGCTGAAAGAAAATTGCGGAGAAATGATTGTATTTCTTACAGCTTCGCTATGCCAACTTTCATCCGCCCATCCTGTCGTAAACACACGGAATAATTAGCAAGGCAAGATCATAGTTGCATTTATCTAACACGTTTCTAACTTACACGTTCGCCGATCGTCTAATTAGCTAACACTCTCACGGCTATGCGACTTCGGCTGATTTTATTTGAATCGGATTAACGACATCCTTAATTATACGGCGTTCTTCTGGCACCGCGATACACAGTTCGCACCTCATCAACACCATGCTGCGGGATGTAGAAGACCCGCGCACGTTACAATTATAATTATTGATATTCCGTTCGACTGCCGGCGCTGGAAGCAATCCATCTTACACGAGACCGGTCTCTTCCTCGGCCAGCCGACGCCCAATAAAACGATACCCGCGATAAACCTTTCGAAGCCAATTAGGAGCTAATTGATTTTAACTGTAAATCTATGAGCCCGATTCCTCCGTTCTGGCCGGTTCCACGGGATTGCGGTTAAGACGGGGCTGGGGACTTCTGCCAAGCAGCCAGTTGTTCCCGATAAATTTACGATGACTAAACTCCCTTTTCTTGCGCTCGTTCTTCTCTGTTTCTCGTGCCGCTGACTCTCGATCGTACCGCGTCATCTGTTTCTTCCCCCTTCACCCACCCCCTTTTGCTTCTCGTGTCCTCGGAACCTTCTGCTTATCGTTCCTTGGAAACCTTTTGCCTCGTTTTCCTCGTGGTTTCCCTTCGATCCGATCAAAATCGCTTACCGCTCATTAGTCGGAAAAACAATGTCGCGCGACGTTCCTGAATGATGAGGGAAATCTTATTTCGCGAACAGCAACGGATTTCGCATTTACATATATTCTGTTTATTTGTATAAAATTATGTTATTATGTTATTCAATTTTATATTATAGCAAATCAGCATTGTTTCGTAGCACGATAAGAGCTCATTTCGTTCTCATTCGTCAGGACATTGCGAGGAAAAGAAGCATATTTTTTGGCGTCAAATGTAGGGTTCAAAATGTTCAACTTTAAATTGTTGTATCTATTACAATTTACGATCATTTTTATTAATATTTCCACTTTCCACTTTTGTCAAAAAATCATTAAAATATTCGATCCGGCCCACTATGCGGCGTGACGCAAACTTTACAGTCAGCTTTGATTAATTAAAAATCTAGATTCGTGCAGTTTTCTGTAAAGAATGTGGAGGAATATAATTTTTATTTAACCATTTAACCGTTTTTGACAATTATACTCGTCATATCACAAAATGTTATCAATTCTCTGCGAGGAAAAGAATTGAGTTATAATGAGGAGACCGTTTCATTTTTTAATTTTATTATTTAGTTACTTAACTGAAACCAGTCGACTGTTTTTGACGCGTTATAACACGAGTTATGTAACGGTTGAGTTAAGTAAATAAATAAATGTCGGTGATGAAATAAAACAATAAAATAGTCATTTCGTTGCAGCTTAACCCTTTGCACTCGAATGACGACTCTGTGGCGCCACGAAAAATGGCTATACTATTTAAAATTGCTATTACTATTTAAAATTTAAAATTGCATTGTACTCGCCAATAGGCTAAATTTTATATGCATAAATCGCAATAAATTATATAAAATAGAAATACTGTAATTATACTTTGGATTTCTGCAAATGGTTAATTCTATATTATAACAGACGCTTTTCAAAGAGACTGCAACAGCTGATCGGCTAAACAGTTACATGCGAGAATATCACAACTTCCGTTTTCTCATGGGTGGATCGATGGTAAACAATTTTAGAAAGTAGTGGTTTTTGAAAGCTCCTTTCCTCGGTAAAGCTAGCAGTTTATTTTTACGAGCAGTGCGTACATGGTTTTACTACGAGTGCCGTTTTCTTCTTCGCTACGTCGAGAACATTCAAGCCCGAACGGTTGACTGAGGTGGTGGTTTCCGCAAAAGAAGATGCTTCCGGTGGCCCTTGACTGTGAACAAGAAACGGATATAAGAATGCCGGGGTTTACCGGAAGGGCTCAGATTTTACGATACTCACTGCATCCTAAAAACGGAACGCAAACCTTTCCCGCGGGGCATTCGCCATATTTCTTGCAGGATTTATCCGCTTCCCGTTTGCGTCTGCTGTCTGGGAGGTTCAAGGTTACGAGCTCGGACTCGTCCTAGCGTTCCAAGAAAATTATCCGCCATTAGACAATTTAATTCCACGGTGGAGAGAGATCTATTGCCGTTCCCGAGGCAAAGCAAGAAATAGGGGATGCCGAGCTCGATCGGGGGATGAATAAATCTCTTTCCCGAACTCGGGATGTTGCGCGGGGCGCGCCGTTTGTTTCTCGAAGCAGCACGCAATTTAGATATGAAAAAACTAGGAATATCGAACACTATGAACGCCAGAACCATTGCTTACGAAAATCTAAATTCTTTTGGTTTCGTGCTCCGAGGAACTGCTTAGAAACAATTGCAGTTGATTGAATTTCATAATAAAATGTACGGCTTCAAATTTTAAGAAACGGGGCCCGCGTCAAATAATTCGTTTGAATCCTTTCTTTTTATGCAATTTTATGTTGCACCTGCCATTGAACCATTTTGATCGCTATTGAGTGCGAAAGTTTATAGAACTTGAGTTCTCTGACTTCGTGATTTTTAATTATTCGCAAGTTTCTCGTTTTGCTAAATCAAGTCTAATTAGAAAGCTTGTATCAAATGGGGTCGCAATATGATACTTTTCAACTTCTTAACACATTCGCTACCAGAGTCATTAACGTACATAATTATATTTATTGTATTTATCGTATTAAATCGTATGCTCTTAGAAAATGTGATAAAAATGTCGTCAGAGGGAAGCTAAAAATTCTCGAAATATATATGCTATGCGCGACAATTTTAAACGATACAACAATATGCTCGTTACACTCGTGCGACGCTGACAGCGAACGCGTTTTAATTATACCGTCAAATTATAATCTTAAAATTAAATTAAAATAATTATGCTGTTATTTCAAGAAATAAATCAAATATCCCGAGTAACGCTAGCTCTAGAACTTGATGAACGTCGAAGCTATGATTGATAATAATCTCGAATAACAGATCGCTGAAGCAGATTGCAAATGATATTTCCATGAGGAAGTTAATTTTCCCATGAATGCCTGTTCAGCTTTAGAAAACCAGGAGGCTGGCAAGAAGTCAACTAAACAGCGTAACGACCGCCTGTACAAGAACGCGCGTAGACAACAAAAGCTAAAAACATATCAGAAAATGAGATATGCATCTCTGAGAGGCTGGCTTTCGCTCTATCAGGCCAGCTAATGATCTCCAAGTTACGAACGGATCTACTCTCGAGCTACAGCGCGGTACAAGTTTGGCGTTCTAAGTTATATCCGGGTTGGTGTCTCGGGCACGGTCAAGGCTTCGAGAGCACGGCGATATCTCTCGGCAAAGAATCGAGGCGGGTTCTGGTACTCACTGAATCTCCACTGCGATCCCCTAAGCGGATTACGTGAACCTCTGGGTCGTCCTGCGGATGGAGGACCAAGGACGATTAGAACGTGATCGCGATTTACAAGAAACGACTGAACAACGCGTTTGTTCGGTATGGCTAGCTCGTATCTCCGTACCTTGTCGTCCTTAATGATGCACCTGGTGGCCGAAACGACGCACACGAACAGCAGTACGAGAAACAGCCGGCTCATCTTCGAAGCTGTGCTCGGAAACGCTGTCGATCCTCGGACGCTCGGCGCTCTTTATAGAAGAAAAACGGCCGGGCGGAGGACGCGACGTTGCGAAACCCAGCGCGTCGCGTTATCTTCGCCGTAAAGTCGCGGCCATTAGGGACGGAAAAATGAAATTCTCAATTGCACCGTAGATTATGCGCGGCTCGCTCGTGTTTCCGCGTTAACGAGCGGTTCGCGGAATCGTTGCCGCCTCGCCTCGTCTCGCCTCGCGTTGCCTCGCGTCGTTCCGCGTCCCGCCGGTCCGCGCGCGCATTTTTCGGTCCTGAAATGAGTTCGGATTCCCCGGGCTGGTGCAACGAAGATACTCGATATCGTAAACCGCTGTCCGGGGAGCCGGTTCCGGTCGGTTCATTTTCGCGGCCAGTCTTTATCTAAATTGGAAAAAACAGAATAGCTCTGTAAAATGTACCGCGAGTCGCGGTGATTGCGTGCCACGGTTTATGAGCTGTTGTCAGGGCACGGCACGGGCACCGGCTCGGCTCGGCGCGGCGGTGCGAAGCTGCGCGAAATCCAGGAACCGATTCATCGACGGTTCGTATGGCCCGCGATTCGAACGGTGCGTTCCTCTCTCCGGTCGATCTGCCAATGAAACGATGCAGCCGCAGCGCGAGGGACACGCTCGACGGGTCCCTGTGATCCTCTTCGCAGTTGAGAGTGGTAATTACCTGCGTTCATTAGGCTGATGGTGACGGCTGATCGATAACGTTACGCACTTAATTAAAATTATGCTGCATTACTCTATTGCTGTTTTGGCTCTAATGAGAGCCGCGATCGATGATGTCCGCGAGAGATTTTAATGTTCTCGTGACGCTGGTTGCCGCGTGATTCTGATTCGAGCCAGTCACGGATCATTGTTATTTATCTCGCAGCTTCTGGTTTGAGTGGAACGTTTTGAACGGGGATTGCGAACGCTTTTCATCCGATATCGAACGTTACTCTTTTAGGTGTGCAAGTAAGTTTGCTTACTAGAAAACAGACTCTTGTGCGGAACTTTTTCGTTGGAACTTTTGTTCAGATCGAAAACGTTCTTGATCATTGCAGCGGTAGTCTAGACATTACTATCGAAATTTAAATCCTTATCGGGTCGTCCTGTAGGCAATGCCATCTTTGCTTTCGACGCGTTTTCAGCAATCTCTCAATTTGCCCTCGAACCCCCCGCCGCATTGTTGCAGCTGCAACGATCGCAACGTTATTTCTCCCGTTTCTTTTTGTAACAGATAAACTCACTTGCACGCCCGAAAGAATCAAGTTCGACCGTAATCGTCGTCGCCCATTCACGCCGGCGTGTACTTGCCGCGGAGCACGTTAGAAAATTCCGAAACAAACGGTGCTGCGCTCGATGCTGCATTTTCTGAAGGGTCTCGTGCATCCCCGGAGCACTTCATCTCCGCCTAGCATGAACCGGCGAGTCCGTTGTATCGACCGCGTTTCAGCGGAATATAAAAATTGCTCGGCGGTATTACGACGTCCCTGTTCTACATCACGCTTTACAGCCGGATGTCTCCGGGAGCGGAATTAATTATGTATGCCCCGCAGTGGTGGCGCGCGGATGCGCCGGAGTTTCGCGGCCGTTTTACCGGCTCGTAATAGTCCCGGTATTGGAAACTCGTTCGTCCATTCGGGCGACGAGGGCGACGGCACGGTCTAAACCGCTAGTGTGTATGAATATGGTCGTCGGTCGATTCGCGGAGGGACGGTCGCCGCGTTTGCATAACCGGGGACGGAGACGTCGTAGTTACGGACGACTCGAAACTAGCGGTCCTCGGACGGACACTCGACGTGACCGGAGGTTCTTTGTTCGCTTGATTACCGAACACCCTGGAAACTAGTCATTAGCTCGACAAATAGAGAACCGTCTCTCTCTTTCTCCCTCTCCCTCTCCCTTCAGCGGCGCGACCTTCGTGGAGAAAGCTGGCGGCGACGCGAATATCCGCGACGCGCTCCCTCGTTAACTAATTGAACGCTGTTAATTTACTCGCGGCTATCCCTCGGCGTCCCTCCCGCCTTCTCTAACGTTGTTTGCCCGACGCCCGGCGGTATCACGGCTGCGAAGCGGCCGTCCGTCTTTCCTGTCATCGACACCGCTGACGAGAGCGCGGCGTTTCAGCCGGCCAAGGCCTGTTCTTTTCGCTTCGGCACAGCCAACGTGGTATTTAAAGCGACAAACCGCGCGATTAGGCCCGATTCCACGACCGCGGCGCGGATCTAAATGCGTCGCCGGGCCGACGAAAGGCGGCTCGGGCGAGCGCGAATACGGCGCGGCGGGCCGCTGATCCGCCGGGGAAAAAGGAACGCGTCTCCGGGAAACCAGCCGCGGAGGCAGGCCAAACGACGCTTGGCGATACAACGGGTTAAACGGCCGGTGTCGGACACGCGCGAAAATAAATGGAAGGATAAGGCGTCGAATTCAGCGGGATCGTTCGTCAGTCGCTTATATTTAGACCGTGACTACGTCTCGCGCGCGGCGAGACCGCGACGCCTATTTTTCCTGTCCCGTTTTCCACGCCCCGTGATTTCCCGGCGTTTCGGCCGCGCTTCTTCCGCCCGACGATCCATCTTCCTCCCATCGGCCAACTTATTTTCTCGATATTAACGTCGCCGCGGAATGCTGATGCGAGAAGACGATCGAGATAGACGACGCCTCTGTGCCGGAGATTAATAAGGTCGTGGCGCGAACCGGGGCGCAAAGAAAGCGGCAAGAAAGTAGATTGCTAGGAAATAGCGGGCTTGTTGTTCGTCCGCCACACCTGTGGCGCTCGTGAAACTTCCGGGGAGATCTGCTAGAATTTGTTCTCCGGTTCACAGCAATGTCTCCCTAACTGACGCTCAGATAGTGCAGAAAAATGGAAGTGCCATTATGTATCGTTCCTTGCTTTGCTGAATTTTTTTTTAATTCGCTTGATTTTTCCTGCATTTTTCGTTCATTATGTATGTAGTATACGCTAATGTCGAGCGAATAAGCAAATATTAGTAATAAAATTGTTAAATTTATAAAAGAAAACCCTCTCTTTGGATCCAATATTTTGACAGCGACGCTTACTCTGTGTTCGACGTGTATACTCGTCGTCGCTTGATTCTCGCGACACACATAAGTGCGCGCTCTGAAAAGTAGGCGCCACAGCTACCTGATTAACAAATAAGTCGAGCTCTTTTCGGTAAAAATTGGTACATTTTCTTGTTCTCTTGAAAACAGCAGCAACGTTCCTACATCGAACATCGAGTCGTTTAGAAATTATAAATTCCGTCCCTAACGCTCGTCGACTCAACGCGCAGCGCACCACTTTGAATTATCATTAGAGTCATCCGTGTCCTCGGCAGGCGTTATCGGAGCCGGCAAACAGGTTTCCTCGGTGTAAATGAACGCGGCGCAAGGTACTGCGCGATGATGCTGGATGATAGGAGGGATCATCGAAAAGTACCTCATTATTGTACGTATCGAAGGAGGAAGAAGCGTTCAGCGTTATCAATTATCCGCGAAGCTTCGAGTAATCCGGGAAAAGGCTGATCCGAGCCATCGAGAGCCTGGCAGCTAGGCTTAATCGATTTAATAACGTAATACAGATTACAGACAATCACGGTGGCGCTCTTTCGATACAATGCGCCGATAAGCGGTAAGACAAGGCGGTTTCCTTATTAGAGCGCCGAGATATCGCACGTAGAGACGGTGGGAGGGACACGACGAAGAGGCCTAGCCTTCCTCGGAACGTGACGAGGGAATCCTATCGACCAGGGCCGCTCAATTTCCGTCCCGCATTAGTTTCAGCGTTAACGATGTGCCCCGAACGTATCCTCGTGGCCTATGTACGCGGTTTAATCGTTACGTAAGTACATCATGAAATGCTGGTCGCTATCTCTTTAACTGGGAAGATAATCGTCCCAATTAAGCTGCTTTCCCACGATTCGAACCGTGCCGGCTTGTACACGCTTCCAACGAAATCAATATCAATAACAGCCACGCCATACATTCCCTGCCCTCCGTGCCCGCCCACCCTCGCCCGCCGGCGGCTGATCGTGGACCGTGCCCTATCCCCCCGCGAAATCCCCCTCTCCTCGCGAGGCATCGATATTAAATAATTTCGAGCCTTCCGCCGGCCGTAATCAGTCTGTAAAATTTTAACTTATAATCCCCGGCGAACCGGATTACCCCGACAATCGAAATTGTAACCCGTTATTCGATTCGGCCCGTCGCGGCTCACCTCGGCCCGTCCCGGCCCGCCGCGCCATCCGGCGCGCGCCGCGCGGCCGCCAGACAGTCGCAAATAAAGTTCGCGTCCGCATGAAATATTAATTCCAGAGCCAACCGAGCACGGCCAACAAACTCCCTTTTCCCTTCCAAGGCGCGCTCGCCGCGACGTTGCGAGTCTCTCTCTGTTTAATTATAGCCGAGCTCAGGTGCTAATGGATTCTCTTGACGCGCTCGACCGGAGAAACAGAAGTCACGGAATATCGGGTGGCTCCCGATCTCGCTCCGTGTAACTTCTTCATCGAAAAATCATTTCTGATCTCCAGCGAATTTAAAGGCAGAAAGCCGACGTGATTCTCCTCTATGCACGTACAATTTTCAGATGCATTCCTTAACAGTTTTAATCAGTTAAAAGTAATGCAACAATATTTTCAAATTCTTTAACTCTCGGACCATTTTTGCAACTGTATTATTGACGCAGCTTATAACAATTCTGAGCTTTGTTCAATAATTTTTCAAAACGTATTTTTGAAGGTACTTCTTGCAGACTTATTAATCTTCCTGTTGTTCCTAACGCAACAACGATTTACGTTGTTAGAACTGCTGAAAATTGGCTAATTAATTGAACGATTTAAATACTCCGAGTCAAAATGACCCGCCAACTGCAATACGATGGTACTGCAGTACGATGGTTAAATACTTATTTTTGTCATAAATGTAGAAAATTGCGGCCTAGTGATTAGCATGGGTGCAGGATCGGGGTCTCCTAAATCCATTAGACGTGACAGTAATAGATTCGTGTGTACCGCT